TGTTTTGGAAGGGCCTAATTAAAGATTAATCTAATTTCAATCAGCCCTATTCTGCATTTCGATTACGTTCCCGCATTCCGCTCCGCTACAATCGTAATTCTGAGACACGATTGAATCGAAAAAAGAAGAGGAAGAGCGAAAGCATCTTCGAAATCAGCTGGTTGCCTAGGAATGTGTGAAATCGAAACAAAACAAAAGAAATAATTGCACCAAACTATAGCAGCTTATGAAGTTAAGGGATTTCGCCGACCTAAACGGGGTTATATCGCCGAAACAACAGCCCTCGATCGGGTTAACCCCGAGTCATTCCGGTACGTAGAACCGGATGTCGTTCTTGCCAGAACACGACACTCAGGACAGCGACATGATGCCTTTTGGTGTCGCCACAACACCACCTGCACGAGGAGGCCCACATGCTCCATGTTAAGCGGCATAACACAATGCTTTGGAAGCAGTTTCTGGTTGGGAGCCACAGAGGTGGTCACCCAAACAGACAACTCCTTGCAGAAAAGCCTTCGCCCAGGCACGTCAGCAGGCAGAGGTTCATCAAACAACCTCTGGACCCGACAGCTTATCGACAGGCCTGAATGGCATTCTCAGAGAGGCAGTCTCGAGTTATATAGACTCCCGACCTGTGAATGCCGTTCTGGGCATGCAACCACCAGACGTAGGCGAGACAGAACTTCGTCTGTCTCGGGAGACTCGGACGACAATAGCCCAACTGCGCCCTGGTTACTGCAGCAGGTTGAACTCATACCTTAGCAGATTAAACGAAGATGTTGGGCTTGTTCGAGTTGCAATCACAACCGCAGTGTTGCGCGAATTATTAAAGTATCGCGTTCTGTGTGAATATCTAGCAATGTATTATCAGTTGGGCAGTTGCAACAATGTTGCCATTTTTCATCAGTACGGCAGTAATGCCGCTTTTATTACGTGCCTCGAACAGGCCCGTTCTCAACGAATGCCCGGCATGCGGAGAGTCGCCCCATGACTCACAGCATCTCTACGTATGTCCTCTGAATCCCACCACGCTAAGACAGACCCCGTCGAGGCTGCACGCTTCCTGGAGCTACCGTTAGTAGAGCTTGACGACAACGATTGAGATACTTGAGATACTTCGCCGACATAAACGGGGTTAGATCGCCGAAACAACAGCCCTTGGTCGGGTAAAACCCGAGTCATTCCGGTACGTAGAACCGGCTGTCGTGGGAATGAGCAATAGCCCAACTTCGCTCTGGCTACTGCAGCAAGCTAAATTCCTAAATGCGGATGTGCCGAACGAATGTCCGGCGTGCGGAGAGACCCCACACGACTCGAAACATCTCTTCGCATGCCCGGAAAACCCCACAACCCTAACGGCGTCGTCCCTATGTACTGACCCCATAGAGGCTGCACGCTTCTTGGGGCTGCCGTTAGTGGAACTCGACGACAACGACTGAGATATCAGCCGATCTGGGCGGGGTTGTTGTAGCCGCTACAACAACAACAACAACGATTGAGGGACTAACCGATCTGGGCGGGGTTTTTGGAGCCGCTACAACAATAACAGCTTATGAAGTTAAAATTTGTAAATATTTTAAAATAACTAAATATATCTAACCCATTTTAATTTAAAAATAAAATTTCGTGTTCTTAATTTAAGTGGAAACATAATTTATTGCTTGAAGAGCAGAACGAGTCCCAGATTGCTGATGTGAAAGTTGAAAGGCGGAGATTTAGGACCATGTTTGATCCTTTTCAGACGAGTGAAGAATTATAAGAAATTCATCTCGAACTGCATTCTCACCGCTCAAAGCCAGTGAAATTATAAACTTTGTTTGAGCACTCCTCAACGTTTGCAATTAATAGAGTGGAAGATTTGAAAACAAATGAATTCGATTTTGAAAGCCGTCAGCAGGATGGGAAGAACAAAGCTTATCCTTCCATTCGAGACAACATACGCACCTCGTTTTAAAAAGTTAGTAAAAACAAGTACAATAATAAAAACATCTTTTTTTATGAAACTCCACATTTTATGTACGTATGTATGTGCATAAATCTATTAATGTTATATAAAAACAATAAATTGTATTCAGTGCATTTCAGTGTTATTTATAGATAATGAAAACAAAAACGCCTGGACTTACTCTTTGAAAACCCCGCGCAATATCCCTTTTGGTTGCCATTATTTGAGCCAATTTTTCGTACTGCCCGCATTGCTGCTCGCGAAAACACAGAAATCGAGGAAATTCATTTATGATGACTTACAATCATGCACAGTATATTTTACTTAATTTTTTTTATACGATTTTTATATTTAAACCCACGAAAATAACAATCGAAACATTCTCCGCAAGGCGAATTTATACAAGGTGGTGTTACTGGCGAATTTAGATTACAACAACTACAGCCATATGTATTTTGTATGGAGTGTGTTACGTCAAATCTCAATTCGCTCCAAAGTTTACATGTATTTTGTTTTTGCTTTTGATGGGTGTGCTGTCAAATCAGCAAAAGCAAAAATAAAATACATGTAAGGCGAAGAAATCAGCTGATTTTACAACACCGCCTTTCATAAATTCGCCTTGATTCTCCATCAACAAATTTGCAACTTAGAAGAACGTAACTACCAAGGCGAATTTATACAAGGTGGTGTTGATGGCGAATTTAGATTTTCGCCGCGGTACTTCCTAATGTCAAAACGATGTCTGTTGTAAACAAGGCGAATTCAAAATACAACAAACACATCATTTTGACATTAAGTATCGTGGCGAAAATCTAAATTCGCCATCATCACCACCTTGTATAAATTCGCCTTGGTAACTACGATCGAAATGTAGAATAGGTATAACCAAGGCGAATTTATACAAGGTGGTGTTGATGGCGAATTTAGATTTTCGCCGCGGTACTTCTTAATGTCAAAATCATTTGTTTGTTGTAAACAAGGTGAATTCATATTACAACAATCACATCATTTTGACATTAAGAAGTACCGCGGCGAAAATCTAAACTCGCCAGTAACACCACCTTGTATAAATTCGCCGTGGGTATAACCGTAAATTTCGAAGATTGATCGAAACGAAACGGAACGCAGAATAGGGCTGAACAACATAGCAGTCAAAGTAAGTCAAACAAACAGTAGCATTTAAGGATACATTTTTATCTAAACAAATAGGGTTTCATACTTTATTTATTGAATATCGAATTAATTTAAAAACGATATTTAACCAAATGAATAGAAATTGTATTACGATTGCTTTCACAGTAACATATTAACCGTAATTATTTATGTATTTCTATTTAAATTGTCCTGGTGTCGGACCAAATAAACCGCCACCCTGCTTACTCGCAGCTCTTGAAGGAGCGAAACCCAACAATTTTTGTATATTTTGTCTAATTGACATTGTGCAGAGAATATAAAGAAAGATGAAAGAGCAATCGGTATAATCATCGCCGGATAAGTTCCTATGACTTAAGCCTTGAATCCAAGAAATGGGCGTAAACGGTAATTGTGCCACAACACGACCATCAAATCTGCGATAATGTGAATTTATATTATTTGTTGTTTTTTATTATTCGAATCATACTCACATGCTGTTGAACATGCTGAGGAGAGCGGTGAATGCAAAACCTGTTGCAAACATGGACTTCATTTTTACCAATGAAAGATCTCTATTATTGTTCTTTAGTTTTTCTTCATCACGCTCAATTTTCTTCTTCTGCGATTTATCGAGAGATTCTCCATGGATTTCCTTACGTCTTTCTACTAATTAAATAATTGAATGTACTTTCTTTAATAATGGTTTGATCGTAAAAAAAAAACGATGGCCCCTATTAGGAGTTGCATTCGATCTTCGACTGTGGTCGAAAGTGCTGATCGAACGAATTTTCACTTTTATTATTATGGCCACGGTTGCCACACGGTAATAAATTTTCTGACCAGTAGCTCGTTTCTGTAACAATTCTCTACCAAGGCGAATTGAGATATGAATTCGCCGCCCTGTTCTCTACTGCTAATTAGTAGAGAATGACGTATATTCTCTACCAGTAGAGAAATAATCGGTAGAGAAGAGTTACAGCAACGAGCTACAGGATTGACAAAAAAAAAGTTACCTAAAAGTTACCAAGTAAAAAACAATATTTTATTATACAATAAACTGCAAAAATAAACCTCGCTTATTTGCCATAAATAAGACATGGGTACAATAAATAGTTGTATTAAAAGAAAACTAAAATTCATTTTTGGTATGAGGCCATCAGGGCCATAGGAGCCTATCTACAAAAAAATTGTTAGTAATATGAGAAAGAAGGATCTATAAAAAATAAATGCGGTCTTTTACTACGTGATGCTACATATTATAGTAAAAGGAAACTAAAAGGACATGCGTCGGGCTATTGCCATTTCGATTCTGGTAATGCGTTTTAAGATGCACCTCAACTTTTTTTGATATGACAGTTAGGCTACTCTGGCGCTCAAGGTCTCATATAATAGATACATTTACAAACATATGTATATAAATACATTTTTATTCAATCTGTGAATACGTACGTGTATAAAAAAGGATATAACAAAAATGTGTGAAACAAAAACCAACACATAAGTATTTTCGCAATGAACGCGTTTAAAAATATACTTTTCATAAAAAACACGCTTTACGCTCTTGTCTTTCAAACGGGATCTTAGCCTCTGAACAAAAAAATCGACTTGCATATACCGTCTCGCTAAAGAGCCCAAATACCCCGCACAAACTGCTGTTCAAACCGCCTTTTTTCATTTCCTCTACACCGAGAGAAAAATTAACCAAAAGTGGTTATTATTACCAAATTCAAACTTGAAAAGGAATCAACGTTGTTTTTGGTTAATATTAGCAATGCCTTGGTTGTTATTTTCAACAATGAATTGGTAATATTAACCACAATCTTGTTTACATTAACCAAACTTATGCTCAGCACTTCACTGATGCTTTTTCATAATTCGAAGATACAAAACACAATTTTTTGTAATCATTTCAACACGTGGCCTCTGACGGGATTAGCAATTAACAGCAAGCATCTCTACACACTCCCGTATTTCACAAACCACTTGACCCCAGCGAAGCATCAGCATGGTTTCCGTAAAGAGCACAGTACAACAACAGCACTTAACGCCATGAACACTCAAATAACTCGTGGCTTTAACCGTAAACGTCCCTGTGAGAGAGCGAGTCTAGTAGCGTTGGACCTGTCAAAGGTTTTTGACACTGTCAGCCATTCCACGTTACTAGAATATATAGAGGCTTCCTCTCTCCCACAGAGGCTCAAACGGTGGTGTGGCAAATTATCTAAGTGGTCGACACTCGACGGTAATGTTTAGAGACAAATCGAGCAAACTTAGAAAAATAAAACAGGGGGTTCCACAGGGTGGTGTCCTTTCCCCACTACTGTTTAACTTTTACATTTCAAAGCTCCCTCAACCACCAGAGGGAGTCTCGATTGTCTCTTACGCCGACGATTGCTCGATCATGGCGACTGGGAATGGAATTGAGGACCTGTGTTCGAAAGTAAACGGATATCTCTCTGAACTTTCTCGCTTCTTCACTGCAAAGTGTCTAGCCTTCTCCCCTATGAAATCCTCTGCGACCCTGTTCACAACCTGGACGAAGGAGGTCAGGCTACCGCTAGGAATTCACGTCGATGACACACAAATTCCCACGGTGAATAATCCTAAAATAGTCGGAGTAACATTCGACAGCCTGCTATCCTTCTCTGCGCACGCAACCGCTATTGTCAATAAAGTACAGAGCCGCAACAAGGTCCTCAAGTCGCTAGCCGGCAGTACTTGGGGCAAATACAAAGAAACGTTGCTGGCAACATACAAGGCAATAGGCCGGCCGGTTTTAAACTACGCAGCACCAGTGTGGTCGCCGGGGACCAGTAGGACGCAGTGGACGAAGCTACAGACGGTACAAAACACAGCACTAAGGACAGCGACCGGATGCCTCCTGATGTCACCAGAACACCACCTCCACGATGAGGCGAAAATGCTCCCAATTAGGGAGCACAACACGATGCTCTGCAAGCAGTTTCTAGTTGGGAGCCACAGATGTGGCCACCCAAATAGACAGCTGCTTGCAGAGGAGCCCTCGCCGAGGCACGTCAGGAGGCATCTATATGAACTAAGCAGCCTCTGGACCCGTCAGCTTACAGACAGGCCCTGAACGGCATTCACAGGGACGCAGTCTCGAGTTATGTAGACTCCTGACATGTGAATGCCGTTCTAGGCACACAGATACCGGACATTGACGTGACGGAGCTCCATCTGCCTCGGGGGTTCAGAACAACAATAGCCCAACTTCGCTCTGGCTACTGCAGCAGGCTAAACTCCTACCTGAGTAGACTAAATGCGGATGTGCCGAACGAATGTCCGGCATGCGGAGAGACCCCTCATGACCCGAAACATCTCTTCGCATGCCCGGAAAACCCCACAACCCTAACGGCGACGTCCCTGTGGACCGACCCCATAGAGGCTGCACGCTTCTTGGGGCTGCCGTTAGTGGAACTCGACGACAACGACTGAGATATCTGCCGATCTGGGCGGGGTTGTTGTAGGCCGCTACAACAACAACATCAACACACTCATGATCCAACTACACAAGATCTCACAAGCTGAAGCAAAAGAAAAAAGTAATTTTCTGGCTGACGTTTGTAATTTCGGCGCCATGTTATTTTCTTTGAAAAGTAAACAAAGAATATGAAGACGAAGCACAAAGAAAAAATGCAAGCAATTTTACAGCACATGTTTGTGCTAACCAAATTATTATTTTGTACGTGTTTTTGCCATCAATCACCGCGCACTTCATTTTAATTACATTTGCACAAAAAATTTATTGAACATCGCTTAAAAATCACTGAAATAAACCACCGACAAAATACACATAAAGAAAGAAGCAAAACAGAAATAGCAAGCTTCAAAATTACGAACGTCACACACTTTTTTCTCAATTGCTATTACAAATGGCTGCTTATCAACCGGTCCGATCTGTTCTAATTGGTTCATGCTATACACTCAGCTACAGCCGCTTTATAAATCTTATTACATTAAACGAGCAATTCTTGTATATATATATATATATCCATAGGGTTCTTGGAAACGGCTCTAACGATTTTTATGAAGTTTTGTACACAGATAATGTTTTGGATTTTAAGGTTATCTGAATAAGAATTGTCTCCGAGAGGACTCGTATAAGGTTGCCACCTATTCGAAATTAGTTACAAATCAATTAAAATATCATAATATGGGTATCAAATGGAAGGTATTTTAAAGCTATCTAAATCAAAAATATTTTTAATATGGTTGCCACCTATTTCGAATCGCATATTTATGTAATTTTTTGTAAAAAAAGGTAAAATATTACTATTTATGGGTATCATGAGAAGGTCCTAAAACAATGCTTTTCCTATATACAAAATCTTAACCCTTAGGATAATAGTTTAAGGTTGCCACTTGTTTTCGATTCTACACAATTTATCTGAAACATCGCAATATGGATATCAAATGAAAGGTATAGTTGAATAGTTTGGTCAGAAAATATTTCCCATCAGGGTTGCCACTCCTCTATGTAATACAAATTTTTATTTTGTTAATTTCAATCAACATTTTTTTTATGTATACACAAGATATGTACCATTCATTCCCCCCTATTTCGGAATAGGGTTGCCACCTAAATTTTAGAATAAGGAATTTACTTAATAGATATCGAAATCCATTTTTTTTTCCAAAATATTTTCTTAAAGCTATGCAAACCTTGAAAACTTTAAAAAGTATATGCACTCCGGGCAAAGCTCGGTCAACCTGGTACTTTGTCTTTAAATGTTCAACTTGAGTTAATTTTCTTCGTCGTTTAATTTGGTTCTACACTTCACAGATGCTTTTTCGTGTTAAAGAAAAACCAAAAAACAGAAAAAAATTGTGTGTTGCCGCTGACAGCAAGCCCCTCTGCACGTTCAACTAAAGCCAGGCATACAAATTGGTTTTCAAATGTTCAACTATAATCACATTTCTTACAATCGGTAAACTGACCATGAAAAAACGAAACAATAAAGGCTGGTTTTCACTATGTCATATTTTGACGCCAAAATTTGGCGACATATTTTGACAGAACTTTATCTCCTTTATCCATACCTTTACCGATGATATTATGGGGCAACAACTGAAAGATAGCCGATTTCGCAGTGCATGCACACGACTTAAGACCTATCCTGATCCAAATCAATCGACAAACCGACTCCTATTTGACAATGTGTTTTCACTTATTTGACGACAGCCTTAACTCGATTGAAAAAAACCATTTTACTTTTGTCTCAATCATAGTGTAATAAGCAAAGTGAAATCAATATATGACATATTTATTTTTTATACGCTTATATCATGATACAAAAAAGAAGGTAGTTTCATTTAATTACATTCGTTGTTGTTGTTAACCATTTGACTTTTAATAAAATTATGACATTTCATTAAATTCATGCTACCTGATCACGAGCAGTAATATTTTTTTAACCGACTTCCTAAAAAGGAGGAGGTTATCAGTTCGTCGGAATATTTTTTTATTTTTTAAAATTTTTTTATGTATGTTACCGCATAACTTTGGACCACGTCAACCGATCGGAAAGGTAGTGTCTCAGAGGTGGTCCCATACTAATCTGGTTAAGATCCGATCAGTGGATCATGAGATATATATATATATATATATTATATGAGAGTTGAAGTCGGTTTTTTTTTGCTAAAAA